AGGTTCTTCCCGGGATGTTGACGGGCAGGGGGAGGAAGTGGAAAAATGGGCCGTGGAATTAGGCCTGTACCTACTCAACGGGGGAAGAATGTCTACTTTTGTTGGGTCGTAGGGGGAGTCGATAATCGACCTCACATGAGCAACCCCTGCGGCCCAAGGAAGGGTGAAATCCTGGAGGGTGGCGGGGGAACTGGAGTCCCTATCAGACCATCTAATTATTAAGATGGAGCTCTCCGCCACCCTCAACGGATTACCACGGCCTAGACTAAACAGGGATACCCGACCAGCTAGATGGGCCCTAAGCCAGCTAGACAAGGAGGTGTTGATCACCATCCTCGAGGCTACCACCTGGCAGGAAGGGCAGGACCTCAACTCGGCGGTGGCCGACATCATGGGCCTGATCACACAAGCGTGTGATCAGGCAATGCCTAAGGTAAGGTCCTGCCCAAAAAGATCCGCCTGGTGGTGGACCGAGGAGATTGCCGAGTTGAGGCAAAAATCGGTCCGCCTCAGGCGGATCTTCAGGAATGTCCGCGATGGTAAAAGACCCCCCGAGGAGACCAAGGCCGCCCGTATCGAGTTTTGCTTGGCTGCACGCGCGTTGCGCAAGGCATAGGGGCGGCCAAATGTCAAGGTTGGGACACCCTCCACCGATCATTGGATGCTGATCCGTGGGGGCGCCCATACAAGGTAGCAATGCAGAAGTTAGGACCATGGATGCCCTCGCTTATGGAGACGCTAGACCCCAGGTTCCCTGAGAGGGTTATGGGGACCCTATTCCCGATGAGGGATGCGACTCCGCCCATAAACCTCTACACCATTCCCTCTCTTGAGGAACAGAGGGAGGTTCCTGGGGTCACGGAGGAGGAGGCCGGGGCCATCAAGAGGGTCAAAAGCCGCAAGTCTCCCGGACCTGATGGTATACCCGGCCGAGTACTCACCCTAGCTTCGGAGGTCATCGCGGGCAGGATGGCCGAGATTTTCTCGACCGCCCTGAAGGAGGGGAAATTCCCCCCAGTTTGGGGTAGGGCCCATGTGGTCCTCCTCCGAAAGGAGGGTAAACAGGACTCCCCCTCCGCGTACTGCCCCATATGTCTCCTGGATGAGACAGGCAAGATCTTTGAAAGGATCATCGCCGCCCGCCTCACGGAGCATATGGCCCGGACAGGTCATACTTCGATGACGGCCAATATGGCTTCCGAGAGGGCAGGTCCATTATAGATGCAATTCTGCACCTCAGGACCCTCTCGGAGGCCATAGTGAAGAACGGCATGATGACAGTGGCAATATCGTTAGATATAGCCAATGCTTTTAACACCCTGCCCTGTGGTAGCGTGGTGAGAGAGATGAGGTATCACTTTCATTTCCCACGCTACCTCGTGGCCGTCATCGAGGACTATTTCCGGGGTCGGCGTCTCACTTGGAAGGACGCTGATGACGGTGCGCGCGAGAGGGGAATGAGCTGCGGGGTTCCACAGGGGTCCGTTTTGTGCCCCCTCCAGTAGAACCTCGGCTATGACCAAGTCCTCCGAGTAGCCCTGCCCCCCGGCTGCAGCATCATTTGCTACGCAGATGATACCCATGTGCTGGCCGGGAGTAGAAACTGGGGGGATGCAATCAACACTGCAAATATTGTGATGCACTGCATCGTGTGTGCCATACGAGAGGTGGGCCTGACGGTGGCGGAGAAAAAGCTGAAGCTATTTTCCTCCTTCCTAAAAGTATCAAGCCACCACAGGCCCCCCTCTGTATAGGTAGTGTCAGGATTCCTGTTTAGGCCCAGATGAGGTACCTGGGCCTCATTCTGGACGGCATTTGGTGCTCTAAAGAGCACTTCAGCCGCCTGGCCCCCACTAAAGGTCACTTCTGTCAATTTAGGCAAGTTAATGCCTAAGATCTGGGGACCGGATATGAATGCGCATCGTCTCCACGCGGGAATTATTAATTCGGTAGCGTTGTATTGTGCGCCAGTCTGGGCAGAGACCCTGGCTGACAACCGTCCGCTCTGCGCGATAATGCGCAGGGCATAAAGGACGGTGTCGGTCAGGGTCATAAGGGCGTACCTACGGTATCCCACGTGGCGGTGACGGCCCTGGCGGGCATGCCTCCTCTGGAGCTCCTTGCATTAATGTACAGGCAAGTGTACTATAAGAAGGGGCTCCAGAGAAATCTTAGGGATGATAAATCGCCCACCGGGGCGCTGAAGCGCTCTAGGCAACAAAGCCGACTGCTCCTTCTCCAGCGATGGGAAAGACGCTTGGCTACTGCTAATACGGGAGAAGGAGCGTCGAGGCCGTCCAGCCCTGCCTAACCGAGTGGGTACGCAGGGAGTCAGGAACCCTGACATTTAGAGCGACACAGGTGCTCACCGGGCATGGCTTCTTTGGTGAGTACCTATGTCGCATTGGAAAGGAACGCACGACGCAGTGTCATTGCAGGGCTGACCACGACTCCGCGCAGCATACCCTTCAGGACTGTCCCGCGGGCGCAGCCGAGCGCGGAGTCGTGGTCAGAGAGATGGGTCCCGATCTCTCGCTCGCCAGTATCGTTAACAAGATGCTGGAGGGCGAGAGAAAATAGGATACATTCACTGGATTTTGCGAGACGGTGATGAAGGAGAAGAAGGAAGCAGAGGAGCTCCACCGACAAGCGGAAGGTAGAGGGAGAGCGCGGAGAAGGCGACTACGTCGCAAAGCCGAACGCCACTTTCCCAGTAGAGAGGGAGATATCGACTCCTCTGAGGAGGAAGCGATTCCGGGTATGGTGGGTCTCCCCCCACCACACATCCCACTCCCTTCCCCGCCCCTCCCTTCATTCCCCTCTAATCCCTCCCATTCCACCTATCATACTGTTCCCCTCCCACCTTCCCTCCCCCTTCCCAACCCTGTCACCTACCACTACCTCCAAGGACGGCCCTCCCTGCCCGAGTTACGCCCCTGAGAAGGGCAAAACAAGGGAGGGGAAGGACCCTACCAGTAGGGGCGGCAGTGGCAGGTACCATGACACAACCTGCCGTCATAACGGAAGGCCAAAGACCCAGAACCAGCCAGTCGCACCCCGGTCGTCCGCCAGTCCCTAAAAAAGGGATTGGATGTGAGCGAGCGGGGGAATGAGATGACAGCGTTACTGACAGATCACCTCCCCCTCTCTGCCACCCTTGACTCACACCATAAATGTGGGTAGAAAGGGAGGGGTTGACCCCCCTTTTTTTGACGAGGTGGGAATCCATCATGGATCCCCCTCACCCCCGGGGAGGGGTGAGGGGGTATGCCAGACTCCTACTGGCTAAACCCACCTCGGGTAGCGCTACGAAGGGACCATAATCAAGGGGTCGGTGTCGTCTAACCGCTTATCGACCCCCTGGATCCGGGGCATTCACCCCAATGTCCCTGGTGGGTGGGGGGAGGGGGGAGGCTACACGGTGAGCTCGCAAGCCCGAGTAGTTGTTTCTCAACCACCGCTCCCCAGTATCCACCCCCCCGTCGCATCCAGCCGGGAAGGGAGAAACACACGGTGTCCGCCGCTGGTGGCTGGACACCGCTGACCACTTAAGGCCCGCTTCAACCGCCGTTCCCGGTGGACAAGACGTCGTCTCGTGATGTTTGGCGGCTAGGTGGACCACCACCACCTAACCGCCCCAGCGTTTGGAGGGGTTATTTGGGGCCCAAGTTCCCTGCCCTGGGCCCCACCCTCCACCCCGGCGGTTACGGGGGGATATCCTCCCCTAACCGCCGGGGCCTCCCGTCTGAGAGATTTCCCGCAGCGAGGGGTCTCCCAGAGGGATGGAAGGAGGGGTGCGCTTGCTGGTGGCGAGAAACACCACCGCGCTCTCCCCTCCCCCCTTATTGATTTATTCGGTTCGACTGTTCCCCTCTTGGGGACTCTCTTCCGTGGTGGGTTGGGGGGAGGCTGAAAATCTGCTCCCCCCTTCCCACCGGATGCCGTCGGTGCGTGATTTTGTGGAGGGGAATTCATTTCCCCCACCCTCACCCTAGTTCCCCCATCCACAGAGTTGGATGGGGGGGTACGGGCGGTTACACCACCACCCGCCGATCCCTCGTTGGGGGGCGGCCGCGACGACGTCCTGAACGTTTGTTGCCGCCCCCCTGCGTCACAAGCCAACAGGATGGCCCAGCCGTCCTGTGGTTCGCTTGCCTTCCCTCCCCTTGGCACACCGCGCAGTGTGGCTGCTCTTCGCATTGCCGCGCGAAATGCCCGCCCCGGCCACACTGATAACAGAACTCGCTGCGGTCAATCGCAGCGGGGCAGCTCTACCTGGTGTGGTCGAGGCCCCAGCATTTGTAGCATTGGGGTGGTCTGGTTGCCAGCATCGTGATGCTGACTGTTGACCACCCCAGTGCCATCTCCCCTTTCTTGGCTGCTGTTACTGCAGCGGCCACTGGTAGCCGTGCCCACACAGCTCCTCTTCCTCGAGGTCCCCATTTAATGGGGCCCATTTCTAAGTTTTCCGCCCCACAGCCTGCGCATTCCACAAAGGCCGCTTTTATTTCGTCAGGGGAAGCCGCCTCATTGACACCCGTGAGACGGACTTCCCCTCTCTTCACTGGGCGACCTATTGTCGCCCCTGGCAGTACCTCTTTCAGCCGCTGCGCTAACCGGTCCACCTTCACCCCTTCAGGGCCCGGGTCCCTGACGCGGACCAGGAATGCACCATTCGCACTCATGTTGGTGTCTACGCCAGGGATCCCTGGCTCTTTGAGGGGAATCTCTTTAGCCACTTTCCTCAAAGTGTCAGCATACGACCCTCTTCCCTCCTCCAACCTGATTGTGACCGCGGCTGTCGTAGGCAGCCGCGGCCACTTTCCACTCCTATCCTTCTCCATTTGGGATTCCGTGCGGCTTTGTGCCTGCACGTTCCCCCTCCTCTCTTCTCTGTCTCTTTGATCTTGAGGGCGCACCATCATTTTATTGGTCGGTGCACCCCTGCTATCTTCTTCTTTGTCTTTGTTCCTCTTCCTTTTCCTGTCATTCACAGCTGTTCACTCCATGGAGTGATCAGCTGTGAATTCCAATATCTCTTCCCTTGGAGTATCAAGCGCTGGTACCTCCGTTTGTGTTTGCGCCTCGGCTCCCTTCCATTTCTCGGTCTGTGTGCCTGGCCACTTTTTTGGTCTAGGTTCTTTCACCCTACTCAATATTTCCCTTAGTTCCTTTATTTTATTTTCCTTATTCTGCCTCATCTTTTCTTCCATTTCTATCCCTTTCTCTTCCTTCTTTTTCAAATCATCCCTTAGCCCTTCGCACATCTTCCTCCAGACTTCCTCGTATAAGACAGTCGTACCTTTCACTTTTTCTTTTTCCTGTGATAGGCTATTTCCTAGACTGTCCTTTTCTTTCCTAACTGCCTCTATCTCCCGTCTCATTAACAGCAACTGCTCTACTAGCTTATCCCCTTTCTCCTTTTCCTGTCTTAGCGCCCTATCCATATCCTCCTCTGTCTCAGATGGGGTGTCTGTTTGCGTGGACGAATCCACACCATTCACCTCCCTCTTTTTCGTTGTTCCTGCTTCACTGGCCAATATATCCATCTGCACCTCAGCCATTTTATTCCTTTCTATATCCCATTCCTTTTCTTTTTTCTCCATTTCCTCCCGTACCATTTGTAGCTCCTCCTCCGCTTTCTGTTGTTCCTCGAAGAAGACCTCCACCATCTCTTCCGACCTTTCGGTTTCCTTTTCCATTTCCTTACATTTCTCCTCTAGTTCCTTGATCCTGTCCATCATTTCCTTCCTCGTCTCTTGATTTTCAATCCTCTCCTTCCCCATCTCCTCTTCTTTCTTTCTTATCTCCTCTTCTTTTTTCTTTACTTCCTTGGTCTCTTCCTGTACATCCTTAAGTTTCACCGCGTTCCAGGCACACCTCCTGTGGACCTCTCTTCCTACATTGACTAGCCTCCGGGCATAGTCCTTCGCACTATCTAGTGCTTCCCGGAGGTTTTCCCTTGTTTCTTCCCTTAAGCTGCAATCCTCTCCAAGGATGGCTATTTGTGCGTCCATAAAGGGCTCACACGACTCCCAAAGCTCCTCCGAATATGGGAGATAATCCAAATCCGGGTGAAAATCCAAATTCTTGACGTCTGTCTTCCTTGCTGTCACCCGCATCTCCTTCACTTCCTATCGAACACGTTCTATGAACGTGTTTCTTTTGGTGCCTTCGTCCCTGAGGTCCCTGAGGAGCCTCCTCTCCCCTCCTCCTATCTTCTGCGTTTATTTAGAAAATCAGCCAATTCGTTCATCCCACTCTCCCCCAGCGGCTCGACCAGCCGGGCATGCCCGCACCGCCGAAAACATGACCCGGCGGTGTCTCCGAATTCCCCCGGCGAGCTGATCTATGCTACGGGTCCAGGGAGAGGCATCCTGGACGCTGAGCTCCGAGCCCCCTATTCCCGCCCAGATCCCCATTGCTGGGAGCCTAGCCGGTTTCGGGGGTCCCCGGCCTCCGACCTCCAGGGCGCAGCCACGCGGGGGGCCCCGTGGAAGAACGTAAGTCACCCGTGTCGCAACCCACGGAGACCCCTCCCCCACGGCGGCCAGCGTGATGTCGCCGCCCAGGGAATGGGTTTTAGGTGTTGCGATCCCCATTCCCGGGCTCACCCCGGGGGGCCCCGGCCCCGACCTCGTAATACGTCCGAGCGACCCGGAGCCTCCCCGCCAACCCTGGGTACCGTGGGGGTTCCAAACCCCACGGTGTGCAGACCCGGGTGTGCCCTGTCCCTTCGGGCTACCGGAACACCAGTGTGCAATGCCTTTAGGGACGGTCTCCCCGGGGTGGGGTCCTGTTCCTCTGACTGCTAGAGCACCGGCGTGCAATGTCAGAGGAGTGGGGTCCCCACCCTTGATACTCCATCCAAAAATGGGTCTAGCTGAGAGGAAGCCACCCCTTTCAGCTGCTGGAACACCAATGCAATGCTTCCAGGGGCGACCAACTCCTCCCATTAGACCCGTACGGCCTCCCCAGATTACTCTGGGTCGGCCTCCTTCCTGGTTGGACGCTCTTAGTCTGGCCCCTCAGTACAGACCACTCCGGCATGGTAGAACCTGCCAGGGGTCGAAATCCCCGCCGGTACAGCTCTGTACATCATCGGGGCACGCAAGGTCCCCCACCACGACAAGGTAGCGTCCACCGGGGAGGTGACGTCCACGGAGGAGTGGCGTCCACGGGGAGGGGGTTTAGACCCCCCTGCCTTTTATAGGCAAATATGTGCCTGGCGGCTAGGGGCGGCTAGGGGACTTGATTATTCCCCCTGTAGCCGCCGGGCAGGAGGGTGGGGCATCAGGCGTGGATTCCCGATGCCCCAGTCAGCCCTCCAAAGTAGGGTGGCCGGATGAAAAGGTAGATCATCCAGTCGCACAACAACACTGAGGCGGCACCCTGCTTGGCTGGGAACGGAGGTTGAAGCACAGGCCCTTGGCCGCCTTCCCCCTTCCCAGCCATATAGCTGGGTGTAAGGGGTGCAAGGGGGAGCGGTGGTAGAAGCAGGGTCTCGGCTCTCTTCCCCCCTCCCCTGGGGAAGCGGTGGTCGAAGAGGAGTCTAGACTCGCTTCTCCCCTCCCCCGGCACCTCTCGGGGAATAAGACGGGTTGTCGTTAGGACTCGGGGCCCCGATCGCAGTTATACGTCCCCGGGGCCCCGATCCAACTTCCTTCGCAGCGCCACCCGGAGAGGCTTTAGCTGGTAGGAGTCCGGCATAACCCTCCACTCTTCCCTGAAGGTGGGGGGTATCCATGATGGATTTCCTCCTCTTAAAAAGAAACGGTTAATAAAAATCCCCTTCTGCGATGGTCGCCACCATGTCGTGATGCAAAAGCTTGATGACCACAATGATCCAAGGGGATGGACTCGACTTGGAATCTTAGGATTCCAAGTTCGAGGGTGAACCGAGGAGAGTGGTTACTAAGAGCGACTAATACATGCTCCGAGATGGACAGCTGTCTCTAGAAGTATTATGGGACTGGAGGGATGCTCTTGAGCGGCATGAAGCACCCTTCAGCACAGGCGTTCGGGCTCGTCAGCTTCGCCTTCGGGAGGCATCTGAACAAGGGAAGGAAACCCATAACAAATCCCGTGTCGATGGGGCCCGTTAGCCTATTTTCCAGGCACCCAACGATGGGATGGAAAACCCTTTGCAAAACCCGGGTATCGGACTCGTTAGTCTGGGAGGTTGCCAGACAACCCGACGAGTGGAAGGAAAACCCACTATAAAAACCCGGGTTAGTGGTCTCGTTAGCCTTGAGCAACCTATTCCGGAGATTGGAAACTCCGTTATCAAACCCCGACGAGGGCTCGAGAGCTTGACTTCGTGGGCAAACAAACTATTATTATGGGACGAAGAACCCCAATACCAAACCCGGGCGTGCGGCTCGTTAGCCTGAGGGCACCCGCACCGGGGAAAAAACTCCGTACATATCGGGCGTTCGGGCTCGTGAGTCTGGCAGTCCAGGCACTTGAACTAGAGGGAAGGTAGAACCCTGACTAATAGGACGATTGGGCATGTGAGTCTATTTTTCTCAGACATCCGAACAAGGGGAAGGAAAACCCAATGGAAAAAGCCGGGTGATCGGACCTGTTAGTCTGGCGGTGCCAGGCATCCGAACGAGGGGAGGAAACGCAAAATAAAAACCTGAGGGATCGTACTAGTTAGCTTAGTGAGGCAGCCGACAATAGTATGGATGAATGGAGTCCTCTCAGCGGTTGCCGTGTGGTTTAATTCCTCTGCATGGGAGTGGCTGAGAGGCAACACCCGGTGGAGCGCGCCGCGGACCCCGTGGGTCCTGGTCCCGTCGTAGAGCCGGACGCCTTCTGGTTTCTAGGGGCGGCGGATAATCGGCAACGGGGATCGAACGCTGTCGTGCACCCCCTGATCCGTTAGGCCAATGCTCTTGATGGCCGGGGGGACCCTCGGATGCCGGGGGGCTGAGGATAGTCGGCAACGGTGGGCGAGCGCTGTAGTGCACTCACTGATCCGTCAGGCCGAGGTCCTGCGACATCCGAGGGATTCGCTCGACGGTGGGAGCAGGGGTGCTCTCAGGGGACGGTGCGGGCTCCACGATGGTGTAGGATAGCGTCGCTATCCAGAATAAATGTGTGTGGGGAGGGAGGGGTTCCGGAGGGGGCTGGCGACGGTCCACCATATCCCACACCCCCCATGCAATCAACGGCGCAATACTTGGTGTGCGGAAAGCCTGGAGCACACACTCGGCGGTGGTCCATCCGGGAGGGAGTACCTTGGTGATCGGTGACTGGAGATAGTTGGCAACAGGGAACCCGCGGGTGGCGGGCGACCTGATCCGTCAGGCAAAAGCCGTCGAGCATTGGGGCCCTTTCGGAAGGGATAGCCGTCGATTGTGCCCGGTTACTAGTCATCGGGTGCAGGAGGGGACCAAAAAAGTGTTCCCTTTTTTTTCTGCGATGGTCGCGATCTTGTCGTGGTGCAGGAGCTTAATGACCACAATGATCCAAGGGGATGGACTCGACTTGGAATCTTAGGACTCCAAGTTCGAGGATGAACCGAGGACAGTGGCTACTAAGAGCGACTAATACATGCTCCGAGATGGGCAGCTGTCTCTCCAAGTATTAAGGGACTGGAGGGCTGCTCCCGAGCGGCATGAAGGACCCTTCAGCTCGGACGCTCGGGCTCGTCAGCCGCGCCTTCGTGAGGCATCCGAACAAGGGAAGGAAACCCTAATAAAACCCGTGGCGATGGCGCCCGTTAGCCCATTTTCCAGGCACTCAACGAGGGGACGGTAAACCCTTTGCAAAACCCGGATATCGGATTCGTTAGTTTGGGAGGTTGCCAGACAACCCGGCCAGGGGAAGGAAAACCCATTGTAAAAACCCGGGTCAGTGGGCTCGTTAGCCATGCCTCCGCAACCTATTCCGGAGATAGGAAACTCCGTTATCAAACCCGGGCGAGGTCTCGAGGGCTTGACTTCGTGGGCAAGCCACCTATTCTTAGGGGACGAAGAACCCCAATTCCAAACCCAGGCGTGCAGCTCGTTAGCCTGAGGGCACCCGCACCGGAGAGAAAACTTACAAACTGGGCGTTCGAGCTCGTGAATCTGGCGGTCCAGACATCCGAAACGGAGAGAAAACTTCGGAGCAAACCGGACGTTCGGGCTCGTGAGTCTGACAGTCCAGGCACCTGAACTAGAGGGAAGGAAGAACCCTGACTAATAAACCCGGGTGATCGGGCTTGTGAGTCTATTTTCTCAGACATCCGACCAAGGGGAAGGAAAACCCAATGGAAAAACAGGGACGGAAAACCCATTAAAACCTGGGTATCGGACTCGTTAGTTTGGGAGGTTGCCAAACAATCCGACGAGGGGAAGGACACCCACTGTAAGAACCCGGGTTAGTGGGCTCGTTAGCCTTGTGCAACCTATTCCGAAGATTGGAAACTCCGTTATCAAACCCGGGCGAGGGCTCCAGAGCTTGACTTCGTGGGCAAGCAACCTATTATCAGGGGAAGAACCCCAATACCAAACTCGGGCGATCGGGCTCGTTAGGCCGGCGGTGCCAGTCAACCGAACCAGAGGAAGGAAAGCCCAATGAAAAAAGCCCGGGCGTGTGAATTCGTTAGCCCTCGGGCGATCAGAACAAAGAGAAAACCTGTCAAAAACCGGGCGTTCGGGCTCGTGAGTCTGGCAGGCCAGACATCCGACATTAGGGGAGGAAGAACGCCGAATAATAAACCTGGACGATTGGGCCTGTCAGTCTGGTTTACCAGACACCAAACGAGGAGAAGGAAAACCCGAAGTAAAAACCCGGAAATTTGGGCTCGTTAGCAGCATGGCAACCGAACCGGAGAGGAAAACTCCGATTTAAAACCCCTCGGGGGTTTGAAGTCGTTAGTCCCGGGGCGGTGTTTTAGACTCGCTAGCCCTGGGGCGGCCAAACCGGAGAGGAAAACTTCGTGAACAAACCGGGCTCGGGCTCGTAAGTCTGGTTCCCCAGACCAACGAGGAGGAATGAAGAACCACAAAGAATAATCTCGGGGTGACTTGAGGGGATACAAAAATGCTTATTCAGTGAGGAGGTGCGACGGGAAGTCGCAGAAATGCGTGTCTTTGTTAGATCATGGGACATAAGGGATTTGGTGTTCCACACAGATCTCCCATACTCTAAAGAGATATGGGAGACGTGGGAACACTACATAGACGAGAATATCGTAGAATGTAAGGGAAATAGGAGCTTTAGCGACATGCAAAAGCTCCAAGTACAGGATGTCATGCATGGAGCCAAAGACTATGCGAGAAGACTGGTGAATTTCGGCAGGGAGATTCATAGAAGATGCGCATGGAACAAGGTGAAATTTAGGCAAGCAGAGGAGAAACTTAGAGAGAAGAAAAAAGAGAGAGAGGCACTCGTAATCTTAATAAGGGAAAGAGAAACATTAATAGAGGACAGCGAAAAGGAGACAGAAATGCTCTGGAAACAGATAAGGAAAGGAAGGAACACCCTGGAGACATAGAGGGAGGTGATTACGGAGGGGAAAAAAGCTAATGTAGAACAGGTGGAAGAAATAAGGAAATTAAAAGAGATTTTGGAACTCCGGGCAAAAATGAAGAGGGAGAGGGAAGGGGAAAAGTTAATGGAGATGAAGACAATTCCAACTCAAACGGAGAACTGTGGAATAGAAATTGCCACACAGGTGGAGGTAATAAAGAGGGATGCCATTGTACAAGTAGAGATGACACCCCCTCACTATGGTGAGGACAGACGGGGGATTAGCAGCCTCTCTCCAGGAAAGATGGATGGAAGTGGATAGAAGGAGCAGGAAAAGGAAGAAGGAGATAGAAGGAGGAAATGTGGACGCCGGTACGGCCAAACGCCCCCAACAGGAAAGGAAAAAGGGAGAGGAAAGGAGGAATGTGAGAGTTGGGGTCTCACAACCACCCCCGGCGCCTCCCTCGATGAGGGAAAGGAGGAAATGGCC